GAAATTTGGTATCAAGTAGGAAATTCCGATAAATTTTTTTTTTTCACCGTGAAATGTGATATCTTTAAAAAGCGTTTGCGGTCTTATAAGACTTCTTCTAAACGCCCACGTCGTCAGGATACGTTCTATATCGAGTGAAACGACAGGTGCACATAAGTGTCTTATGATAATTCCTTATCCTACTCTACATATATATAGACCGACTAGGATATCATGTGCTATCTGGCTGATGCTTTTCCTCTTTAATATCTTCGCCAACGGATTGCGGGTAGAATGCTTACGTTAACATCGTCACCAGATTAGTTGCGGTCTCTTTATTTTATGCTTATGCCACTGAAATGGAAGATGCCTCCCATTTAAATCAAAATGCAAACTACCAATTAAGTAATTTGTTTCACCAAGTATTTCATGGATCATTCTATTTAACCGAATAATGTGAGTGGTAATAATCATAACAATTACACTTCTCAGACAATTATGTTATTTATTTAGAAAAATTTATCACCTTTATCGACGATAATTAATTTTGTTTTCACTAGAAAATATTAATCTTCTTGTGAATTTAATCTTTGCTTCGTCTATGCCTCTTTTTCTCTTTAATCATCATACTAAAGTAATTCGTGCAATTCCAGTAATACAACTTACTAAATACAAAACTTCAGAAACATTTTAATCTCTTCTCTACTTTAAGAATAAAAAGTTGCTTTTTATATTTATAATAGCTGCTTCTAATTTTGCCATGGAATTTATATTGTATTTATATAGTAAATTAAATGGTTTGTTTAATTTTACATAATTATACACTGTTTTTTACAACAATAGTAGATTTTTTTAAATATTAGTTTTTTTTTAGTAAACATCTAGTTATTTACTTGCCTTGCTGAAGGAATATTTTGATAAAATAGTTTAAATACAGTTCTCTTTTTAAAAAATATTGGTTATAAATAAAATTAAAGAGCGTGTAAATATTTACATCTTCATGGCCCCAGGTTTACACGTAGGAAACCAAAGCTGAAATAAGTCTAAAAAAATCCACGATTTGGTTAAAAGCACCTGTGACAATTGTATATGACTTCTTTTTTAAATCTATTCCTGGCTTTTTCATAATGCATAGAAAATTGGTATTTATTTCACCTTTAAAAAAGTAAAATAAGCTCAATGATTTGTGAATTATATAATGTTTAGTTACTATTTTTAATTTATCTCTAGAAAAACTTGAATTAAAGTCTTCCAAGGGATGCTGATCTATTTGCAAATGAATGGCATCAAACAACCCGTATCAAAATAACCGGTAATTAACTTTCTAAATTATTTATCAAATTCACATTGAGTTAGTGTTGTTGTCTAACTTTCTATTGTTCGTCTTTCTCAATAGCAGTAATATTTCTGTGGATAATAGAAACTGAAACTTGAGTTTGGAAATTATGAAGTTTCTATATGTACTGAACAGAATTTCTTATAAAGATGTAAAATATACATCCATTATGATTTATCGATTATCCGACAGCTATTACTAGTTCCATTCATTTTAGGATTTGCTTTCATATCAGGTGTATACACCAATTCAATTTTTAAAAGCACAGTTCATTTGTAAAACTGTGTGATAGGTGACAATTTTTCACCTGTATTATTTGTTAGAAATATGCAATTCTGTTGTAAAAAATGGCTCTTGTTGGAAATCGCAATAGCGACAATAAAAAATCAAAACAATAATAGCAACGAAGTTTCTATCAACAGAATTGCCAGGGAAATTTGATTTGCAACAATAAATTAATTATTTTTCTAAAACGATTGTAGCTACAATACTATTGTGACTTTTTGAATAGAATAGTTCACACATTTTTTAACAGCTCTACATTAGGTATAAAAAACGGACAAAAAATTGTAACACGTAGTAACTTTACAAAGATCGCACGTACGTATTTACGTACAGTGCTCATGATACTCTAAAAAAAATTCACCATGTAGTATGCATTTTTCTTGGCTCTAAAATTCCACCAAGACAGGATATTCTACTCATCATCTAGAGACGTGAGTGTTGCGACAACGTCTTCAACTCCATACTTTTTGGTAGAACAAGGTGCGATATCGTAATACACATTTCTTGCTCTGAACGTGATGACGACTGAGACACAGAGGAGGAGGAGTGCAGAAACTCACATGTACAAGACTTGCCTGGTCTAATATCACTCTTATATCTTTATATCCTGCCATTGTACAATATATACTCTTTTTCTTTCACATCATGACACTATATCAAGGTATAAAGCTCCAAAACTTGACAAGCTATCACGAAGAATACATGGAAAATAAAAGGAGTTTCGTGGAGAAGCAAAAAGGTCATGAAAAACACTTATAATCAATAACATTCTGTTGATAGACGAATTGCTTTACATTGGGCTTTTACTTCAATTGATCTGTTGACCGAGGAGTTGGAGAAAAACATTTAAAAGAGAAAATAATTTCAACAGATCTATCAGATAAACCTCAGGTGGTTGGATAGAATAAAAATGGATTATAAAAGACGAATATTTTTTTGAGGCTTTGATAAGCAATCTAGATGCATGACATTTGGGGGCTATTTAATAGCCCAGGATTATTAGAACTTTATGCAATTACATAAATGGACATGAGTAATTAGTTTGGAAGAAAAATAATAAAATAAAATTGACCCATAAAAATACATTTTCACATGAAACAGATAGCTAATGAATAATCTCATAATAAAACTCAATATTTAAGTTAAATTTATCCCAATTTATTTTTGAAGGTGTTCCTAAAACGAAACTTTACTCCATGTTGTGTTATAATTTTTATTCGTAATATGCCCAGAAGGAGAATTTTGTATTACATTAATTTCAGATAAAATATTTTTTGTTTCAAATAAATAAACCTACTTTCAAAAAACTACCAAGCACTTGTCGTCAGTAAGTGAATTTGAACTTGAAACACGAATCGATTTGATAAACAATGTTATACCAATAAGGAAAGTGTCATGCTATGAAATTATTCGGAATGAAAGTAATCGATAATGAAGAGTTATTAGAAGAAACCTGATGACGCATTTAGTTGGTCTAGTTAGTTCAAACCTTTTAACATTACTGCATGGTGTGGCATTATATTAACCATAATTATTATATTGAGAGTATTGCATTAACTGTTTTTGAGTATTACAAAAAAATAAATGTCACTCAAAGATTGAGAGATTGAGATTTTAAAGGTGAAAGTTACATTCTTATTTTACAGATTTCTTGTCATTATCTGAATATAATATTCTGCAATCTTCGAAGAGTTATCATTAAATATTTCAACCCAACTAATGGGTAATAAACATGAAATTAAAGTCACGCATGGATTAAAAATTTTTCATCAAATATTATGAGAACTAAATGCAGTCAATGAGACATCAGAAAAAGTTCTGAATTTATTGATCAAGTTTTTGTTAATTAAGTAGAGAGCATTATTAAATCAACAAAAGTTCACGACAACTCTATAACATGAGAATTATACAGAATCATCTTGATTAACATATAAAAAAAAATATGTTAATGAACTGGAGCAGATTGATTTCTTTTGCTAAAAATTAGCAATTCAAATAAATCAACAACAGATGTTCGTTGCTTCATTCCCACTAAAACTGATCGATTGGAGTCAAATATTTGGGAAAGTAGAGGGATAATAGAATAGACGAAGAAGCTGAGCCTCGGATCTGGATAAATATCCAAGTTATGAATCAAGATCCAAGATGTTTTGTGTTATTCCTGTAATTGGCTCTGAATCGTTTTGAAAATGATCAAATGGTATCAGTCCCTAAGGTAAACCAAGGCACTGAATACAATTCCATCTTCGTGCCCTATCTCCACGCCTTAGTTAAGGTTCCAACCCTCCCTATTCTCTCAATTTGTATGCATTGATGGTAACCTCAAAACGTCAGCCGTAGCCAATGACACACCATCAAAGCCTCATAGTCTTTACTACTCTTTGTCTTTCACTACTCAACCTCTGTCCTTTATAACGTGCAAATGATCCTGTCGGTGTCAGAAGACATTTCGCCTTTTCTTTTATCATTAAATCTTTTGACAAAAATCTCCTCGAGCTTCATACCAATTCCGGTAATTTTGGTCCTTCCCTCTCATTTAATCTCTCAAGTTTATAATACTTATATAGGAAAGCCATTTCGTTATAATCTTTATAAATATCCTATTCTTCAAGAACGTAAATAAGCCGAAGAAAGCCCAAATCGCTATAAATTATATCTAAAAAGTGCTATTTAATTATTTTTTGGTGAAATACTAGTTCATTTTGAAGAGGGTAGAGATTTATTTGATGGATAATATAGACTATAGAGAGTAGCTGTATTGTTTGTGTCCATTGTGTCTTTTGTTGTCATAGTCGAATATATTCCGATAAGGTAAATGTACCAATTAGTGCCTCTGCTCCAATTACTGGCTATAGGATTAGCTATAGCACATCTGTTATTATTTCTCGTGTAAATATGGATCCTACATCTAACCAAATTTTTTTTTCCTCAATATAAAGATTTTTCTTTGAACTTTTTTTTTTATTCTCAACTGAACGAGAACTCCATTTTTTCATGAATTCGATGGAATTGTATTTGTTTTCAAGGAAATTGAATTATAAATAAAAAAAAAATATATTTCTTAGAAACAATAAAAATACAACTTTGGAATAATATCATGCATGAAATATATAAATGCACATTTTATTCTAGAATTCTCGAAGATACTCGTATTCTTAACATGACATGATTCTATTCTAAACCTGTCGTATTTGTTTATTCTGCTCGGATAGCATTACAATCATTACTAATGGTTTACTTTTTTCATTTGAAATGTCAGATTTAATTTTATTTATAACGAAACTTTTTATGAATATTCAACAGTTGGCTAAATGTCTTGAAGAAATTTTTGTAAAGGTTAGAATAATATCCGTAACATTCTATCTGTTATTACAATTTTATATCAATATTTATGACTTACCAATTTGAGCCATGCATTAGTAGTTAGGATTTGGTTCTTCTCATCCTGTAATAAAGAAACAAAAATGTAATTATTTTATTACTAAACACTACCATATTTAATATTATAAAATATTAATTATTATTCTCGGTACAATCTTTAGTGCTAATAATAATGAGGAAGAAAAAGAATTAATTTAACATAAATATTTAATAAATAAATTCATTAGAGAACGTGTTGACCTCATTGGAAAGCTTAAACCAACAGAGAGCATTGAAAAAAACGGAAGCAATTATTATTTCAGACGATTTATCTAACTCAAAGAAATTGTAAACGAGGCTGCAAACCCACAGTAATTATTCCGCTCAAGAAATATTGAAGAATGAAGGAGTGGATAACGTGATGTTCAGGTTGAAATCGTTAAAAGCATGTTTTGACCTGATAAAATTTCAAAGCAAGTCTAGGAGCTTGAATGCTCGAACAATAAAAAAAAAGAAATGAGCAAGCAAAAAAAAAATGTAGAAAAATTGCTATAAGAAAAATACTCAGCTGTAAAGAATATATAAAACTAACCTCATCTCCGTTGAAAAAGACACGCAAGTGATGGTGGTGGTAGCAGAATAAAAATGTAAAATTTCCATTTCAAAGAGAAACAGATGCATCACATTTTTGTATTTTCTTGACTTAAAACCTACGCCTTTCTTTTATTTTTATTCTTATCTACTTTCATTTAATCTTCTAAGATTACTATCTTTTCTTCTATGGATTAAATTATATCAATAATATTCATCTAAACTCTCATTATTAAAAATAATAGATCTAGTTGTGAAATTCAAAATAAGAAGGAATAATAAGTTATTCAGTTAGACTTATTGTAGTGTTTTATTAACATTGTGAAGAATAGAGAAGTGAGAGTTTATATGAATTTTAAATAGTGTATACCATCTGGTTGAATGGCATTTCATCGTTTCCTGTTCAGTGAAAACTTTTGATCTGAGCGTAAAAACTAATAGTTTAACTTTTTCTCTCGTTTCATTGAAAAGTTGAAAGGTTGAAAAGTGGGTCGTACTAAGAAGACATTCGTACTTTGATCATTCATCTTATTCTTTCTTTCATCTTTTGATCGTGAAGCAATTTGCGAAATTATCACTTGGAAAATAAAATGTCAGTTTGATAAAATTTGACGTTAAAAATAATCAAACAATTACTTTGATGTTAATGATTGACATAAATTGTTGTTTTAAAAGTATCTCAATTAAAATATGTTTTTATAGAGACCATTTTTTTGATCAACTTCCATGAGTTTAGCTACATATGTCGTATATTTTCTAGATAAACAAAATAACAATGTTATCCATGGGAAAAAATCATTATAAGATTGAATTGAACAACTGCAAAATCCATTTATACAGTGTTAGCAAAATAAAAAAATTCGTCACTTGGTAATAGGAATTGTTTTCATGTATCAATTGTTCTAAAATTTTCAATGTGTCAAACTATCAGACGATGATGGAGTTGAAAAAAAAAATGTGTACACTACAGAGAAATTTTTATAAAATATGTAAAAATTCGCTTAAGGGAAGACAGAAAATAGGGAAACGGTGATGGCTATGGAAGCATTGTCCATCAGTATTGATTTTTTCAAAATTAAATGCATGTCACATCAAATATGGCAGAGGGAGAAAACTGATGAAAAGTAGTTTTTCATTCTCTGAAACTCTTGAAAAATGCTCAACTTGTCAATCGTTGGACATTGCAAAGTTGAAAGGATGTTTGGAAAACTTGGACCTCAAGTCCAGCAGATGGTTTAAAAACATTCTGGCAGTGTTGAGGAGTATAATATCTTAACTTTTCATTGGAGATCTGCTAAAGTTGGTGAAGGAACAAAAAAGCGTCACTAAATTTCTCAAACTTGTCATGGTCTACTACCATTTGACTAAATCTATGTTAAATTAACGTTAATAGACTTTAATGTCTTGTAATAAATCTATTTACATAGGTATATATTATGTTTAAATTTCGTACTCTACATTTTCAAGTGCTTCCACTACTTTCAAGTATTTCTTCACTTTCCCAAGAGCCCAAACTTTCGTGCATGAAAGCTCAACTATTTCGACTAGAATTTCAGAGCTATCAATGTCGAAACGATGTCCAATTCGATATTTCACACTGGCTCCAACGAATGACATGGTCTTACACTAGGAAAAGTTAAACGAGCACGATAGAAATAAATTTTTAGAAAAAAATAAAAATATGAGGTTGGTCCTAACAAAATAAAGCAGTAAAGTACAATTTGAAAAATCAATTCAGCTGTATTTTTCAATGTAAAAAAATATTAAATTTGTTGTTATGGATGGAGATGATGGAATAATAAAAATTAATGGAGGAAATAACTGAAATAAAAAATATTAATGAGAAAAAAGAGCTTACCACATCAATTATTTGCTGCAATGTTATTCCAAACTTCACTTCGAGTGCTTCACTCTCGTTTGCTACTGGTCGTTCGAGAGTATTGTATTTCGCCAGGAGGTCGTTTAGAAGTCTTCTTTCGTTAGCTCCGCAGTTACTTTCTGTAGTAAAAAAAATTTATTAATACATAAATTAGGTCTCTGAAGGATCATCAACAATATATTAATATTAAAATCAATTAACAAATAAATCTAGAAATATTTTTCTCAGACTATTTACAGTACAAATATTAATTCAAGATATTTTTAAAAATGTAATGTAATATACAATGTTATAAAGTGTGTATTCTTTTTAGCAAATAAATCGAAGAAAAATAGTTGAAAGTATAATAAAGTTAGTAATAAAGTTATCTGTACTTTATGTGAAGAATAAAAAGCAAATTAGGCATTAAGTGAAGTGGAATATCAATATCACTATTATTTGGTATCATTTGGACAAATGCTACGAGCTAGCCACTTTAATGTGCCGTCAAACCAAATTGTGGTTCTGCTACGTGCTATGAAACCAACTTTAGATTCAACCATGTCTATGCTGCTGAATGTGAAATGCAACAGGATTGTGTAGGAGAATAATAGCGACTATGCTCTGCATTTTCGAACATTCGAAAGCCGGATATTCATGGAGTTGTAAGAGCCTTTTACTCTTTTATCAATTATTTATTGCTCTTTATTTTGTTCAGCAATACATTATTCAGGATTATAGTCGCCAACTTCGAATATTGATCAAATACTCCACCAACCATTGTTCATGAAATATTTCAAATAAATATGAAAATCTTACTTCAGTTAGTAGTAGATGTTTTATGCAATCAATTACTTATTTCATTGAAATACATGAAAAGTTCTTTACAAAGTTTTGAAAAATTTACCACTTGAAGTATTTCATTTTTTATAACGCTCCATGATATTCAATGGAATATAATTTTACTACTTTTTCCAATCAATTATTTCTCTTTTAATGGAAGAACGATCAATTATGCAGGATTATGACCACAAAGTTTGGTTTTTAAAGAAAAAGTTATTAGACTCTTGTAAATTAATAAAAATAACTAAGAAGAAAAAATTTCAATAAAAAAACTGTAGTATAATCAAAGTTTGCATTAAATGTTTCAGGATTAAATAGATGTTGTCTAGCTAAGAATTTATTCATAGTCGATAATTACGAGGGACATAAAAGCTCTTATTATTTTATCCCCAGTGGCTTATGTAGACACTTTCAACTTCGTAACTTGTCCATCGTGTCATGCGAAACAGCAAAAGGAAAATTGCTGAAGAAAATCGATAATCTTATTTTCACGAAATGAAATTTTCCTCACATTGTGAGATAGAAAATTGTGCTACTAAATTAAAGTACATCATAATTTCATGTTTTATTTTAAACGATTTATCCTATTGATCAATTCTCTATTTTCCATCTTTCCCTCTTATTTTGTTCCTTCATTTAAAATTCTTTGGTATTTTCATTTCATCGAATATTTATTTGCTACACAAGACCATGTCAGTAGATTCCTCTGAGGATATTTTTTTTCGCAACGTACGAATAAGAGAAAAAAAATTATTTCGAAAACGTTTGAATGTGGTAATTCCTTTTTTCAATTTTTTGTGAACAGTTTAAGGGTACATTATCTGATTTAAGGTCTTGATATATAGCATTCCTGTGGGATATGAAGGAAATCGGATGTGAAATAACATACACATTGTAGTCAGAACTAGCTGTAAATTCGACTCTCGAAGTCTCAAGAATTATAGCCTTACATTAAAGACCATTGGGGAACAATAAAAAACCCGAAAGCTCTAAATTTTATGTCTAGTAAGCTTCGACTTGTTCTCAAATATTCTGGATAATAAATAATCAACGTTGTGGTGATTATTTAAATATATCAATTCCTTAATGAAGTTAAACGATTCTCTGTCTCTGAAGAGAAATAAAATGCCAGTTGTAAATAAATTCCATGTCGATTGGATAAATCTTTCTTTATTTTCGGTCATATATCAGTGAAGTCAAATCTTCTTAACTTTACTCTAAATTCACTTTAAAGTGTGAACCAAAAAATTTATAATTATCCTTCTAAATGATGCAAAAACGTGTTCGAATAAATTTACTCTTGAATTAAATTCACCTAATAGTTCTAATTAATTTTTTCGTACAACATTAAGTGCAAAAAGTTCATGTAAATGTACATAAATTATGATTCTTCCAAGAAAATTTTCTCGTTTTTACAAACTCTAACTTTGTTAAAAATTTTGAATTAAAAAGACATGATATACATTTTGATGTAAATTTTTGAGAAAAACGTGGAAAGAATTGGATAGTTTGCAATGAATTTAGCAGATAATAATAAATTAATAATGTTTTTTAAAATAAGTGATATGTTTTTATTATGATGAGTATTATTATAAACATTAATTATCATTATATGATAATGGAGAAATATCACATACTATAAAATGACTCTCCAGAACACTGTACCTTCGAAAGCATTGTCTTGAAGCTGTAAAAAACCTTGAATCCTATCCCTATCCCCCATGGCTCATTCGGTCCCTATTCACATAAACTTATTTGGATCATTTTAACTTGATTCTGATGCTCGCATGAGTGGTCTTATAACTGTTATATCGATCTTATGCAGCATGTCATTTTTTGATAGATGAAAGGAGATTATTATTGGAAATAAAATTCTTCTCTCAAGTAGGAATTGTAATTGTATCAGTGCTAGCATTTTTTATGTGTAAATTACTCTTTAATTAGATTAATGCTAAAACGAAATTATTTTTATGTATAAAAATAAAAAATTTCTGATTTAAGAATTTATATACTTCTTTGAAGAATAAAAGAAATCAAAACTTAAAATAATTATTTTTATTAGAGGATGATATGACTAAGATAAAAATAATTTTTAATCTGGGAAAATCGTTTTTTCAGTGTAGACGAAAATATAACTTTCTAAAATTAAAAATAAAATATGAAAAATATTGATACATGTAATATTCTCATTTTATGAATGAAACAAAGTAAACTTATCGAGGAAAAACTCTCGACTTTTCACAATCTCTACGTATCAAGCCGTAAAACGTGGCATGAATGGCAGTTCCTTCAAGCGCAAGATGCGTCGACTTATGCACGTGCGCGAATACCCACGCCAACCCTACAAATAAGTTGCTTTAGTGCGCAAGCTCCGAATTTTATGTGAAGAATAAAAAAGAAGTCAGTAACTGGGGAATGACCTAAATATAGCTAACGCCGAGAGTAAACGCGTGCAATAACAGCAATGAAATTATTTGACACCTCGTTTTAACCTTTTAAACAATTTGTAAATCGAAAATCAGGTTGAAAAAAATTTTCATTGCATTCTATTAGTCTCTTTTTATACATTGGCTCAACTCTCATTCAATCAAAAACTAACAGAAATAAAATATAAAAAGATTGCAGGATGTGCTGTGAGTACATCAGCACATGGTGTATGAGCAAGTGTTGGCTAGGCAGCTTCATTGATCCACGAAAAATGTAGTACCACGCATTTCGCCCACACTGCAGCTTTTACGGTATCGTAAACTAATCCCCCATGAAACAAAAGTGATTTTTTTTGCTCCCCTTAAAGCCACTGCTAAAGAAGTAACAAATTACTCCAATCTCTTGTTATTATTTTCCAGACGCTTAATAGATCATCAATTATAAATATATATATATATGTGAAAAACAAAATAACACAGGGCAAATAAAAACATTGTTATTAATTTCCAAGTATGTCGAGTAGAAATGAAATTTTTGACAAGCTGTAATTAATTAATCCTATTATATATATGATTCATTTGGGGTGGAGCAAATGTTGTGTTTGAAAAAATCAATAATTAAAGAATTTTTTGAATAGAAATTCATGATAGAAGATAAAAGAATAAGAAAATATAAGAAGAAGTTTTATTTGGGATAAAATTGGAAATCGATCATTGACCCTCAATACCATCGCTATAAAGTTAATTGTTCTCAATTCCAAGATTCCGTCCACACTACTTTGTTTGTTATCTCAACAATTATAATACCTCCCAGCAATATTTCGTTACTGTCTTCGTCGATTATATTCTCTAAAACACATTTGGAGTATAATGACCGTACTAACAATTCCAATTGTTAAATTTCTATAAAAGTTTGATAAATAAATCTTATCGATAAATCAACAGTAATTGCCAGGGAAAGATTGCTTCCGACAAACAAAAAATATTGAATTTTCGATAAAGTTATCTAATATTTATATATTTGTTATTGATTCAAACTTTGTTGGACACAAAACTATTAATTTTTGATTATTTTTTGCACTTGGTAAAAATAATTTTGGAGATAATGAACGTGAAAGATGAGAAGAGCTAAGTGATGCTCAAAATGCTAAGAGCAATTGATAAAAAGTTTTAATAATTTTACATAATTATATACAGCTTACTTTTTTCCATTTAATAAGCTAATTATACGTGAAAAAAATCACCATGAAACATAGGAGGAGTGTAGAGAATATTTGTTCAAGAAGTGAAATATAAAAATGAAAAAGAGGTATATAAAAGGTGCATTTAATTAAATGCATTTTTTCAATATAAGAGTGAGGTGAAAGTATCTTCTTTTTTGTTCTTGTAGAAATGCATTTCTCGTGGTTAATTGGTATTCGCTAGGGAAAAGACACGTCCTGGATTCGTTACAACGTCCCGGAAGAGAGAAAAAGTCTCGACAGGTTACTCTTACAACGTTCAGTTGTAAAACTGGAAGAGGCGGGCACTGTGTAGTATCCAAGAAGTTAAATTAGATTGGAAAACATGAAAAGGTCGGAAAGAAATAGAAGTATCTGAAAAGAGATGATAAATACTGACGAGTTGTGGATGCTTCTACGTCTTTTCGTAGCAAACGAAATTAAATATTCATCGATTTTACTATAGAAAAAAGTAAATTACGATAAGGCTGCTGAGAAATGTCGACAAGTTGCCACAAGATGTACCAAGTCAGAGTCTAGTTTACTCACAAGCCAACTTATATTGTCAAGAAGAGTTTCAAGCAACGAGAGGTTGAAAAAGAACGAAGGGTAAAAAAAGAAAGATCTCGTTGAGTGTTCACAGTAATTTTC